CACCCCTCCACTGGAATTAATGTCCCCTTGTACATCGAGCAGCCCACCTCCTTAGCCTCCTTCCAATCCTCTCTTGCCTCAGCCTCTTCTTCATTGTCCATCCCTCTTCCTCTTCCCTACCTTCGCCACTCCACTCCTTCCCGTTCCTCCCCTATAGGCCATTCCGTGACCCCCATTTGCCCTCTGTTGCGGTCACTTATTCCTCGGCCTCGGCACGCCCTTGCCATCTTAAATCACTCGTTGTTTTTACCGCGTTTAAACTATGTAAAGTGCCTTGCGCTAAGGCGCTCTATAAATCGAAATTAAGATAAGTGAAACTATTTCGTAAAAAAAAACCCCCCTACCAATAAAAACACATTTTGAGCCTCTAAAGATAAAAAAGACACCTGCACACACACAGCTTGCAGTCGCTTGCACAGGAGCACTGAGCTATAAACTTCAAACCTTGGCAGCATTTCCTCGACCACAGCGAACCGGGGAGGATTTACCTTGCCACAACACGCATGAGCACAGTGTGTTTGCTTGTCGAGTCGCTCATGTTGCGATACAGAACTAGCGGATCGTTATTCTGCAGCGTAAACTCGCCGCTGTCGGCGACAGTATCGTTTGATAAAATCGCAAGCCAGCAGTGAACCCAATGAGAGGTAAATGTTTTGAGAGAGGAACAACAATGAATATACAAATGTGTTTTCGGACCAACATTTTCCACTGGGTATATATTCATGAATGAATATCGACTCCTTATGCCAGGGGTCGGCAACCTACGGCTCCGGAGCCGCATGCGGCTCTTTACGGGCTGCTTCTTGACGATATGTACGTATGTATAGTATGTACTCAGATGCATTGCGGCTCTTGAAATACTGAATTTTGTACCGAATTGGAAAGAAATGGCTCTTCTTGTTATTTTGGTTGCCGACCCCTGCCTTAGGCTCACGAAACACGACATCAACTAGCGTGCGTGAGATGCCGATGTTTATAATTATGCAAATGACATGCAAATGTTACTTGGTGGCTAACGGAGTGAACAAAACGGGTGCGATCAGACAGAAATTAACCGCTGGAAAAAAAATAAAGAATATGTTGTCCAGTCGAATTACAACTCATTAACCGTGACAATTCATCCGATGCCTGGGGTGGGCGTATTAACAGTTCTAGTTCGTTATTTCACAACTCAGTGGCATTGTCACGCGCTCTATGGACGACATGCGTTAAGGTACAGAGTGCTACACCATATTTCCGCGATACACTTGCAAGCAGATTTTAAAGTCATCCAGATCTGTCCAGACTGGACAAGATTTTTTTTACGCCCAGCGCACAACATTAAGTATACACCTCTCGACAACGGCTGTGGCCACACTTACATCATACCACCTACTCCGGTCTGCCACCATGCAGAAAAATATTCATTGAGACATTAAGCCGTAGTTACATGTGTATTTCACAAATAAATTGTGGCACTGCCACACACTGCCTTTGAGCGACCTGCATAACGGTATGGTTGCACCTAATTCATATAAAATGATAATGTACGTCGAATGTATGTATGTTGAACTTCTTTCACATGCACAACTCTTCGAGTGTAAGGCTATCATGTATCATGAACGTGCTGTGTTCACATAGCATGCGGTAATTTCCCAGTCGCGGGTGAAGTTGCTATGTTTGTTTTTACAAATCGAGAAGTTTTGGGGTAACTTTTCAAATTTGGAATGTTTAGACTCTGACGTCAATACATGTCACGGGACATTCAAAGTCCAGTGTGAAGCAGACTGCGTGCATTACGGTCAACACGTGCGTAGTATTAACCAGGGTGTCCGCCGGCCTCGGATCGCAAACAAGCCACAGACGAGCTATCAATTGGTCATGTCACTCGCAGGGTCCCCTTCCGCCAAATTAAATAAAGGGGTCCCCATATGCCTCTGCTGAAATGGGGAGGGGGAAGTGAAGCAACCTCTCCTGGCTTGCCTTATAAGGGCATGCATCGCGTTTCAGTAACTCGCGCTCGAGCGAGCGAGCGAGCCCCCATCCTCTGCTTGCGCCAAACAAAACAGCAATCCATTCCCAGGCAAAAAAAAACACCGCAGTGCTTGGGACTCGTCCAGCTACCGTTAGCAGCTGGATAATGGCAAAGGGCTGTCTCTGTGGCATTGAATTATTAGCTAATGGATATGTAATGCACTTCTCATAGATTTGCCCTTACAAAGTATTTTACAATTAGATTTCCCTCTGTAAAAAAAAAAACACCTCGATATATTAGAAACTGGCAAATATTGAAATAGGCTTTCAAACTAGAAAAGACATTGGCTCTGAAGTACAGTGCAGTTGTATGATAATGTTAAGTGAAGTATTCGTATAGACCTACAGTGAATGATACGAAATCAAGAGAGACTTTTATTCCTATAACAAAATCTTCTATTTATGGTTTGACATTGCATCGATCGCTCCATAAATATAATGAATTACAGGAAAAGCTTTTTGGCAAGTCCATTAAAACATTTTCCATTAAAACGCTATAAATAATGCAATTGCTGTCTTCCGCTGGCCTTGGATTATGCCGCTTTCAGCAATCTGCACAAGGCCCATTGGAACGGCCACGTTGGTAAACAGACGTGAGAAGCAGCCAACGCAATATCCTGGCCCTCTGGAAACGACATAAGTGTAATATTATGTTTGCCACCTGTCCTGGTTTATCCCTTGACAGGAGATGTTAACTCCCTCGCCTAGCATGCAGGAGGTCGTGGGATCGATCCTATCCCTGACGCCTGTATATTTGGAATTTGCATGTTCTCTCCGTGGTCGCGTGGATTTTTCACCGGGTCCTTCGGTTTTCCCCTCCACATTTAGAAACACGCGTTGAGAGTATTTGACTCAAATAATGTCGACATGATAAGCCACTTCGTTGAGCTATCATTTGTGGCCAAGTCGCTTCTGAAAAAAGAGCTGTATAGCTCAAAAAAATTATAGTTTAGGGTTGCCACCTGTCCTGGTTCATGCCAAGATCGTTCACTTGTTGATGCAGCCATCTGAGGAAATTTGCAAACCGTCCCGGGACATGAAAAGTTCCGGTCTTTGTCAGTTGCGTAACAAACCACCAATCGAGACAATTCACTTACGAGTATTTGTCCCCTCTTCCAGTATTGTGAGATATTCATCTTGCCACGAGATGTCCCGGTCTTTTTGTACGTCCGAAGGTGGCAACCCTCTCGTGAATATCAAAGGCAGGTGTGCGCCTTGACTCGGCGCTTTAGAAGTTTTGTTCTGACAAGGATAAATACCGTGCAACCATTGACTGCAAGCACGTGACACCTTGCCAAGAAACGCACTGCACTTGTGTGTGCAGTCAAAAACAATAACAGGACACTTTACATTTCGTGAAATGCCACCTACTTTAATGACACAAATAGGCTTACATTCATCAGTCTTGCCAAAAAAAAACCTCATATACAGCCATTTTTTTGTAAAAGGACATGTACAATGGTAACCAAAGATCAAGACGAAAAGACTTACAACGCCATAATCTTACAACATGTACATGTTTTTTATTTTTACATTTTTTTAATATTTTGTTTTACAATTTCTACAAAACAGAGTGCTATAACCAGCTATGGCAGAATGTCTTTGGGAGTTGTTGCTTTGCATAAGGTGCAGTAACAGGAGCTTAAAAAGCCTGATTGTAGGCCTCTGGAACTTGTGACCTAAGGGCCACGGACTTTAAAGACTCGTGCAGCTACGTACCCCCCACTGCTGTGGACATACTGCTGTACCTGGCTGGAATCGTGTATATATGAAGGGATGACCTGTGTTGAAATATTTATTTCGAATTAGAACTTTAACGGTGGTGACCTCCTTGGTGTGAATTTTGTACCCATTTGTTTTTTTTTTAAGAAATTTCAAATAAACCATTGCATTTCGTAATTTAGCTACAAATTTACACAAATTTACAAAAATAGTAAACAAAAATAAATTATTTCTTTAGCAATAATTTTAGCTGCTTTCCACTTTGGAACTCATAAATACCCATTTGTGGCCATTTCTGTCGAGTGGGAATGTACAGTCCTGTATTCCTAAAACATTAAGGCAAGAATTCACATCCTCTATACAGAGAATTGTATCAGTTAGTGCGTCATGTTCAACATGCTTTTCAAACAATATTAAAATAAAAATCAAATTATGAACTCATAGTTGCCAAAGAATACCTTTAAACATTTGCATTGCAAAGATATTTTAAGTGGGTCTTGTGACCGACAGTCAAATCAGCAGACTGGGTTTGGAGTGTCAAACCAGGTTTCAGAACGATTCCAATATTTGCCACTCCACGTATCTAAGGCATGAGATGTGCCGAGGGTTACGATGGTACATACGTTCAGCTTTGGTAATAAATACAAGTGTACAAAAAGGGCATCGGCTATATTACGATACATACATTTTAACGTGTCTTTATAAGTACTGTATAAAAAACCCAACATTACTTACGAAGTGGATAGAGGAACACACGCGCACACACACTGCGAGTGCGATGCATGGCTCCAGAGATTCCTTTAGTGTAAGGCACATACGTATGTTCATCAAGTGGCCGTGTTTGGTACATTTATTGTCCGTCAAGTATGCCGACGTTGCACCGCACGTTTCCTCTTGGATTTTGTTGCCGAGCCACGCACCTGGCTCCTGCCGCCAGGTTGTGGCGCAAACCGGAGCAGACCGCACAAGTTACACGCGCCGCCCCTGTTATCTTTTTTGAGGAAAGACCAAAACCGAGGTGGGTCATTGGTTGCACGTGGCTGCAAATATACGGGTTCGTGTTTCCACTTCTGCAGTTGCTGCTCGATCCAGAACGAGGCTGTCGAGCAAAACGCCCCAAGTTATGCACCGCGGTCCAGGTGCTCGCTAAACTTCCCTGCATCAGACACTGTTGGCTGGACCCAAAAAAAGGGAACGTGGTGGGGACAACCGTTTTACTACGAATCGGCTTTTAACTCGTCGCATACTGCTGCTTGCGATGGATTCAATGTCAAGTCTCGATCCAACAGCCTTGTCAAGACGCCCAATGCAGCTCAACCTAGGAACACATCACCCGTCCGGTTTTTATTTTATATCGGCAACTTAAAAAGTGATATTGACATAAAATGGTACGTGGCGATGCATCTTGTTTAAACGCAAATGCTCCTTAAGGACCCAGAAAGTCCCCGTACGACGCAGCGGCGCCTCGCTCACGGCAGGTGCTTGGGTCGCCCTTTCTGTTGGAATGTCACAATTCGAACAGGAAGTTGAGCGCGCGCAGATGGCGGGGCAGAGGGAAGCCTGGTGGCCGTGTTGAGAGTTCGGAAGTGACGGCAGTGAAGTCACGGAGAAGCAGGAACACGAAGGGGCGCATAGCCAGCCAAGGTGTCACTGTCCATGACAGCCGCAGCACAGGCCAACACAGCCGTTGTGCCAGGAGAGCTCCACGTACTTGAAATATATGTTTTTTTGTTTTTTTATTTTATGGTTTTTTTTTTGTGTGTATTTTTTGAATTAATGTATCATCATCATCATCATTATTATTACAGTATTAATATTTTATTGCTATTATGGCTTTATTTCAGTCCTGGAAATATCCACCGATAAAAATGGCGCTGGCACCAAAGCACCGGTCGTCATTGGTGCCTCTTCATGTGCAGCGCCAGGTGATCAGACCTTGAGAATGACCTGTGAATAAAAACAAAACGAAATTAACAATCGATCTTGGTGTTGTTACTTTGATATGTTAGCCTTGCCTTTTTTGTTTCGTAAATATGTGCATGGCTGGACTATTAAGAGAATGCATTGCGATTAAACACGCACATGATGCGTGTGCATGAGAATCGGTTATTTACAGTTTGGGAAAATTACACGTTTTACATTTAAGCTAATGGGTATATATATAATGTACACAAAACTGAAATTTGTTTGCAAACAAAGCGATATACGGTAAAACTGGGATGTAAAATTGATTGGTTCTTGAGTTGAATCGTGAGCCAAAAATCACGACAAATTGTAACATTTATCGGGGTGACAAATCAGTACTGCCCAAGAGTCGTACATGCCAAAGCGTCTTGGGATCGCAGCTGTATTTCAGACGCTACATTTTAAAAAACGCACAACTCGCACTGTGCATTACAAAAGCGCAACTCGTGTCGGTCGTGACGAAACACCGAGAGTGTTTAAAACATGAAGGCTCAGATTCGCCCACCCGGGGGGCTCCGTGACCCCGATCGAGAGCACACCACACCACCACACCTGTCGCAGTGCGCGCACTTGAAGGGCTTCGCCCCCGTGTGCTTGCGGTAGTGCCGCGTCAGCTCGTCGCTCCGTGCGAAGCGCCACTCGCAGCCCTCCCAGGAGCACTTGTACGGCTTCTCGCCTACAAAAACACCGCAGGAACGATTCCATATTCTCATCAAGGAGCGCAAACAAAGTCACACGAATTCCGGGCATCCTTGCAGCAGCAGCTTTTGGTTAACCATCGAGCAAGGACGTTCACTGCATTGTGCGCTTTTCTGCGGCCATCTAGAACGCACTTCCTTCCGATATTAGGGAGCCACTGGAGCTTTGCACTTTTAAATCAGGATTGAAAACGTATTTGTAGAGAACTGATTTGTGTGTTTAGATTGTTGTCTTTCCCCCCGCACCTCCGATCAGCACGGTTGGCTACGTACAGTACGATATAAGTTCAAGGTGCATACATATTCTGCGATGAGACAACGCTTCCGCCATTCCTGCTGGCAACGCGACAAACACAAGCGCAACGGTATCCAGCCATCTGTACCGCCCCGGTGTTATTGTGCTGTGGCGGGGCAGCGTGGACCAGCTGAGGGCCGCATCATCAATCACCTGTGAGCGTTGCTCGTACTCGAGTGCACTCGACCCAAATCATGCACGGTTGTCTCGGAGGGGGTTCCCGTAAGCGCTTTTCACGATGATCAGAACTCTGCAATACCTTGAGCAACTGTAGGTACAATTTCATATCTGACATCTGTGCCAAAAGCCCTCGTCTCATGCGTGTGGTATTTCGAAATGCTGCAGTGGACGCCCTGACCACAGGCCATCTCATATCCGTTTTGCGCAATTTTTTAATTCGATAAATCGTCTGCATTTATGCACGCAATGATGAAAGCTAACAATTACTGCATTGGTAGGAGGTGACAAGTGTCCATCAAAGTTGTGAACTTCCATTTGTTTCTCCTGCTCACAGCTTTGTGTAGCCACCAAGTTGCCAAGACAAATAAAATGTGCCTTCCTAGTGAAGAGGTGAAGAGGCATTTGCTTAATTACTGGCTAAGTCTTCAAGTTTGGCATCGTGCACAAGCCATCGCAAGAGTGCACCCTCCTCTTAATCCACAGTATACATGATATCATGGAGCTGTATTAAGAAGACTCTTGTCATGAGATATTAGGATGTTTAGGATTGCATGAATCACCTTCCACTGGATGGTGTTTCTACAGTGAGACTTTAATGGTCTGTCCAGCCAACTTACGGATTTCATTCTCACCAAGGCCAGAAAGCCCCATTATTTCTAGTCCGAGATGCCTGGCAGTTCACAAGTCTCAGTTCTTCATCATTAAACACACAGCCGTCCCTGAAGACTGACCATTTAACCTCCCAGGTCTTTGTTTTTCTTCGAGGACCAGATCCGGCCCAATGGCCTCTTCGTCTCCGTAATTCGGAACAATTACAGCTGGCGTCGTAATCGTCGCCAGGCCGTCACCGCTCAATACTTGTATTCCGGTTCGTGCGCTTCCTCACCTGTGTGCGTACGCTGATGAGCCTTGAGGTGCGAGCTCTTGGTGTACACCTTGCGGCAACCGCTGAAGGGGCAGCGGTGAATTCTCTTCTTGATCTCCAGCGAGCCCTCGGCCTCCCCACCGACCCGGCACGGCTTGGCGACGGCGATCGCCACCGCCTCGGCCACCGTCGCCACCGTCACCTTGGCGACGCGGTGGTGCTGGTGGAGGAGGGAGACGGTTCGCGCCGGGTCAACGTCCGCGCCCCCCTCCGCGGGGGTTTGCACCCCCTCGGACGGCGAGTGTTCGGGAGAGGACGGCGGCGTGAGGCTTCCGGCGTCGCTCAGCTGCTCGGCGCTCGGTGTGCGGGGCAAGCCGGGCAGGGAGACTCCGTCGCCGATGACGCTCTCCCACGACGCGTCGCTCTCCGTGGGGCTCACGCTCTGGCAGCTCCGCTCGGCGGCGTCCTCCACCGAGTCGGAGCGCGCGAGCATCAGGCCGGCGGCATGGCCGCCCGGCTGGCAAGCGAGGATCGTCGGCGCCGCCACCGTAGGCGTTTCGCTCTGCTCTGAGCAGGCGGCGAGAAAGCGCTGCCAGGGATTGCCCTCGCTGTGCTCGCGCTCGCGACGCTGGCAGGGCTGGCTGCTGCCGCTCCCTCCGCCGCCACGGCCGCCACCGCCGGCACCGCCGCTCGGCTCCGTTTGGAGGTATCGCTCCATCTCCAGACAAATCTGCAACCGAGAAATATTTCGTTGAGATATCATCGTGGTTCCACAGCTGGCTCGCAAAACGGGGATTAATCTTACAGCTTGTAAAAATAAAATTAAATAAAAAATATCTCAAAGCGTTACAGATCGTGTAATTAATTGGCCGTGACTTCAAAGCTCTCATATAAATGGACAACCTTATATCAAATATTGATTGTTTACTTAATGGAAAAAAGTCAACTCATAATTGTCTGTTGAAACATTAATACAGATGAGGTCATACTTGCAGCAGCGAACGCTTTTTAAGCCAGGAAATGTGACACCACGTAAACATCATGGCCAAGCACAGCAACGCGGCCCTTTTACACGGCTCTAGAGTTGCCAGCACCTGGAGCTCATCAGCCGCGTGCAAGGTGTGCCGGCAATAATATTCAACAATGGACAAACATGACTCGAAAAAAAAAGTCCACAAAATGTGTATTGCAAACGCGTACGAGATCAAAGCAGCGCGATATTGAAAATAAAGACCAGCAGTGCCCGTGACATTAAATCCAGCGCTATAATTAAATTGGTCGAGTCCCACACCCACCCTCACCCTCTGCCCTCCCCTTTTGCTGGAGCAGCTATGGCAGTTTTTTTGAAACTATAAAATTGCGAAAAACTCATACAAACCTCTCTGCCATGTTTCAACTTAAAACAGAATTGTTGTGAAACTCTGTGTTAAGCAGTTGCCTTGAAATGATGATATTAAGTGTTAACATGATAAAAAAATATAACAATAACCATCAGCACATTCATACTAAAACCCCACCATCCCCCCCCCATAATCCAAAACCATGTGCCTCATATGGACGATGTTGACTCTGGAAATACTGGTGACATTCCAACGGAGCCTCCCTCTTACAAACATACAAGATGACTCAACACCGCTTAGCCTACGCTTTGGCTACGATGCCTAAAAAGAAGACAAAAAGCCAGGCCAACGTCTCACTCTTGAAACGAGTAACACAGAGCTCCTTGCAACCAAACTCCGCCTGCCGCCTCCATCCATGCCCTCCCTCAACGCTACGAGAAGGGCAGGACAAAAGTCGGTCAAAATGATGGAACTTGGCCAAGATGGGATGGGTTGGGTGGGGGTGGGGGCGTGGGGGTTTTACAAGGAAACCCACCGCCGAATGTTCAGGAACACCGCGTTCACCAGCCGCAGGCACGCACTGAGCGAATTGTGAACATGACCGTCAGGCAAACAATCGCTCCATCAGCATGTGACCGGTACTGCGACTTTTTACGAATGTTTTTTTTGTCGGGAATTGAATGTACGTGTGTATGTTGAACTTCTTTCGCGCCGTACGTAGGCAACCGTGCTAATCAGACAACAAACTAAACACACACACATGTACACTATGAGACCTCCTTTACCAGTGGCAAAATATAGTAGTAGGTTTTTACCCTTAAACTGGTACAAAAACTGACACCTTTATACAAGGCAAAAAGTCAGACCCCCCCAATCAACTTCAAGGACAGTGCATATCATATTATCATTATCAGAGTTGTTTATTTTTGTTTGCATTTTGACTGCTTGTGTTGTGGTTATTGCAAACATGATGCCTCGTATAAAGGTGTCAGTTTTTGTACCAGTTGAAAGGGTAAAAACCTATTACTACACACACATGTGTTTGGCCAAATTCTTAACCAAGCCATCTCCATCGCTAGCGTGGACAGTACTACTGGCTATAATTATCCCAGACTCAAGTTGAAATTACATACTTCCACAGTTCCAATGCTGAACTAGTTCACAGCCGGGAAGTTACTTTTAAGGGGCCGTCCATAAACGACGTCACGCGATTTTGGACGATTTTTTTACCCCCCCCCCCCCCTTCGTCACACGGCGTCACAAAAAGTCAGACCCCCCCTCAAATATGACGTCACAAAGCTCTGCCCCCCCCCCCCAAAAAAAAACATGCTTCAAATCGCTTTAAACTATTGTCAGTGTAGTGCGTATTTAATGTCGCGCTGCACTCTGATGTTGTAGGAAAAAACTTTTATTAAAAAGTCTATTTAATTAAGTAGAACGTGTTGTTTATATTTATTTCAAATTGCGCATTTTGATGTGACGTCACATTTCTCACCCCCCCCCCCCCTCCTCGTCACACATCCTCACAAATGTCTGTGACCCCCCCCCCCCCCTAGGTGCGCGACGTCATTTATGGACGGCCCCTAAGCCAACGACTCAGGTGACCACTGCGCATAGCACAGATACAGCAGGCGTTGTGCATGGGGCAGTAGCTGATGGTGCGGCAACATCTAACGTGGGGGGTTTTGTTTGTGTGTCGTTGTTTGTCCTAGAACTCCCGCCGCATTTGGCCAATCTGCACCGACCTGCGCGGTGAAGTACGGTCAAATATCCCTCGTTCGGAAGTGGATTGGCAAACGGGCTGCTGATGCTGCTGCTACAAGGGGCCACGTTTATTTCCCATCCCAAGCACCGAGGAGGGACCGGCCAAAGGAGCCCAGCGGCACTCTGGGTCAGGAGGGGAACCAGTTCACGTGTTCACACCCCCCCCCCCCCCCAAACTCCGCTCACTGGTGGTGGTGTTTGCTGCACATTAGCCTAGCGGTGGAGCGCATTGTGCACGGTGTCTTCTCATCCGTAACGGGGAAATGCAACAGCTGGTTATGTGCACAGTGCAGCATTTCCCCAATTACAGCCGTGCGGGTGTGGTGGGGGGGCTTGCCATTACATACCCTGTCCCATGTTTGTGTTTGTCATTCGTTCTGCCTGTATTGGGACAGCCCATACAAACACCCCCCCCCCCCCCCCAAGCACGTGGGGCTCGAACGTTTTGCAAAGGCCTAAAAAAAACTCCAAAAAAACCACATTAACAAAGCGGCTGCATTAGTTCCAGTGTGTGTCTGGAGTCTTCGGTGCATATCTAAGTGCGTTATGAATGCACGGCACCTGTACAGGTGCATGCACTCTAATCTAATGCTTCTTCAGCGCGGCTCGGCTCACCTTTACAGGTGCACAGCCAACTGGCAGCACACACAAACACCATAATAAACTCCGCTGCTATGCAGTACACAGACACACGCGGCAGTTACTCTGTCATTAAATTGGCCTGGCTCCTGTTGTGTAATCTCCCTCTCTCTCCTCCTACTCTACTCTGGCTCCTCTCTCCTCCTCCTCGTCGTCATGGGGCACGCGGTTATAACTCTGTGATGGCACCCGTGAAGTGGCCAAGCTCCTGGCTACGTGACCCATTTACAGCGTTCTCGGCTGGGCTGCGAGGTGTCTAGGAGATGGCAGTACAGCAAGTGTTGTTCTTAAAATCCATCTGTGCGGACCTCTGAACGCGACACCTCTCCGATGCGTGGTGTGTGTGTGTTCTCTCTCTCTCTCCAGGTAGAGCAACTTCGGTATCATCCTCACACAAGAAACAAAGCGCTGCTTACCGATGGAGTTGGTCGCACATACCGATACAGCAGAACCCTCCTGAAAAAAATGTTTGAAGACTCAGCAATGTTTGCCGGGGTAAAAAAAAGAACAATTCTAACCAACTCCTCACACTGTGATGCATTCAATAAAGAGCCCGATGATGCACGAGCCAGCAAAAGCGCGCGTACACCACCACCAATTTATACAGCCTAGCGTGGGGCACCAGATTGGAAGAGGCGTTCATCCAGCGGTAGAGAGAAACTGACCGCGTGCGTAACGCGGAGGTGTGAGGTTACACGCGGGGTGCTGCGCCACACGCGGTCATGCAATTAGTTTTTTCTCTGGATGACATCACCCCGCAACCTCCCTCCTCCCCCCTCCCCCACAAACCCCCGGTCGGAACTCTGCAGCGCAAACGCGAAAGTTTGTGAGCGAGATGCGATGGCTCCGTGTGATTTGCGAACGAAGCATTGGCAGATTTCGCGTGCACACGCGGAACTCGCTTTGGCGGTGACTCATTGTGGAGTCTGTTTAAAACAACTGCAATGTGTCTAACGACCGGTGGTGAGATTGGATGACCAATTATTTGAAGCCACTCGCTTGCGGAAGTGACTCATTGTTGAGTCTTGTTTAAAATAACTGCAGCGCGTCTAATGACGAGTCGGTGGATGGCCATTATTTGAAGACGGAGTTCTGCGGAGGCCTTCATCCAGCAGTAGATTGGTTATGCTTGCGGGGATGATGATGATGATGATGAGACCATTGGGTAACAAAAAGTACAGCATGCAAACGTAAACGCAGGAACGTGGTAATGTGTCGCAATAAAAAAGGGCCATTTCACGAAACGTCACCCATTGTTTTATGGCAGCGTTATTGACCAATTGAGTTGAACGTTTGTTATCTGTGCGTGTGCACCATCGCCCAAGCTGACAATCTTCGTAGCGTTGAAAATGTGTGCTTTTTTTAAAATCAGGCAACAGCTCAAAAGCACTTGCAATTCATATTAGTGTTCCGAATCGTAAACCAAAAAGCCAATTAAACATATTACCCACCAATGACTAGTTAAATTTTTTTGTATTTAATAAACAGCAAATGTTGCACGTGTGAGGCTCATCATTTAGAAGAAATCTGACAAGCCTGAGCCTGCAAAACAGCTGTGGCCAGTTAAAGGCGATACGCATTCTTTTCCGATTCCCGTAATGGGAGATTTTTTTTAAGTCCATTGGCCAACTCAACATTGAACATCATTACGGTAGAGCTATTCCCATCCCATTTCAGGACGGTGATAGATGTCGATTTGTTGTTGGGGAGGCCTTCCTCCAGCAGTGGTTGATCACGGCTGATGCTTATGATTTTCACGACTGGCAGGCGTGTTTGCATCGGTTATCAACAGCCACCACAGTTGTATTCCCATGGCAGCAGATTCTTCTGGGCATTGATTCACCGACAATAATCATATATGATGATAGGTTTACACACTTAAAAGCCAAGCGTAAGTCTCCAAGGCCGGATAGCATGGCGGTGAGTTCACTCAGATGTTCTGCACCTGAGCAAACATCACAAACAGTAATAATGCCCGTCGCTGCTGTAGCAGCGATCGTTTGAAGCGACTTGTGTGTCGGGTCCTGACCCCCTAACTCACCACAGCAAGCGATGGACAAACATTCATCATCATCAGTCATAGTCAATCTACTGCTGGATGAAAGCAGCCCCCCTCCATCACCACCACCAACCTCTCCCCTCCACACCAAGCCGTCACCACCTATCACCTCGCGCCTGCACACGAGCTCATTCCATCGCTCCATCTCCTCGGTGCACGGTCCCACCTCTCGGCAGCGTTCCATTCATTGGCTGCCACTCCGGCCATTATCTCCTCCACCCATCCCTTCTGCTTCTTCTAAGGACCGATTCCTTTCCAAGGCCACTCACCTCTCTCGCTGCCTCTCTGCAGCGTGAAATCCCATTGACCTGCGCGCGTTCTGCGTTCCATTCACTTTCTGCTACTCAATGCAATCGCAGCGACTCACGAAGCCCTCACTACACTGCGATATGACACGAGTGCTTACAGGAAAGACTCACGACCGAGTTTCGAGGTTGATGAGCATGAGGGTCTCTCTCTTCCTCTGAGAAGTTTGGCTGATTTTTAAGAAGTGTTTTGCATACAGCAGGAAATAGGTGAACCCCCCCCTCCTCCCACGCAATCCGAGTCGATTCTGCTGCAGGTCGAAACGTTTGCAGGTAGCAAGGCACATCATTGCACACGTACACACATTCACGTTACTCGAATTCTGCAACTCTTACCACCCCACGGTACCTCCGAATAGTTTCAGCCGACTTAGCAATTGCAAACCTACTCCAGAACCCCCCCCCCCCCCCCCACCAGGCACACATACACAAGTGTTCACCCAGCACATGGCAAAGTGGACACGCGTGCGTCCCACTCTGGAACTCTCTCTCGCCCGCTCAACTCCCTCCCCTCTGCACCCCACGCTTCCCCTCTCTCTTAACTCTGATGTTTGTGTGAAGAGGTAGGCAGTGAGAGCCACCAGGTACCCACAAAACTCTTGCGCAATACTTGCAGTGTACCCAGGTGTGTGCCAGCCATCAGACCACATCGACGCACGCACCTCGAGCCACGCACACCACCAACCACCTCGGCCACCCACCTGCTGCCAGGTCTCCTCGAGCGACGGCATCGCAGAGAAATATCCCGTGTCGTGCACCACCTGGAGCTCGTGGAAGATGCTGTAGCTGGGCAGCACGTCCATAGCAGCAGACGCGGCACGCAGCTCGCCACCACCACCTCCTTCACCTGGTCACCCACCTCCTCCGCCAAACGTCCCCAAACCCACCTCTCTCTGCCCTTCTCTCTCGCTAACCTCGCCCGGTCGGGTCGATCGCTTTGGACGTTTCAACAAGCTGGACGGATGCTCAGCAGGCTAGCAGCTGCATGCGGTGGTGCACGGAGGAAGGTTCCGTGGCGAATGCTCTTGAAGATCCGCTTGCAGAATTACTCAGCTGCAGCCCCATGCGATTGAATGAGACTGTCGCTAGCGAGCTGCCTGCGTGCGCCACCTCGTTTATATTTCTGTTTTGGGTTTGTGCGCAAGAGCAGAGTTCGTACTCCCAGACCCCCCCCCTCTCTCCACCCCCAAGCACATCCTCCTCCTCCATCCACCCCCCCATCACCTCTCACCACCACCAAACTTCCCCTCCCCTACCGCCCGCCTCCTCCCCCCCCACCAACCCCCACCCACCAACCCCCCCCCACCAACCCCCCCCACCACCCCCACCCCACCAACCCCCCCCCACCAACCCCCCCCCCACCACCCCCCCCACCACCAACCCCCCCCACCACCAACCCCCCCCACCACAACCCCCCCCACCTCGCACCCTCCACAGCCACGAGCGAGGTGATGTCACCGCATTGGCAGCGCAACTTTTTGCAAACAACCGGAGCCCCCCCCCCCCCATTGGCTGAGGCGGCGTGGTCACGTGGCCGTGGATGGGGCGGGCCAGGCGGCGCTATTAATAGCGGCGCTATAAAAGCTCGCGGCGAGGCTGACGAGAGGCGAGAAGTGGTGCGCGCGCGGTGACGTGAGGAGCGCTGATCGCTGATCACGATCACGACGATGATCACGATCATGACGACGATGATGATGATGAACACAATTGCCTGTACGGCAATACGAATTATCCGCACGCCCGGCAAGCGATGCAGATGTCGTCGCTGTCAAATATAACGTCATCGGCCATGGTCGATCCACTGCTGGATGAAGCCCACCCTCCCAATGCCGCCAGTTGTCACGCAGCTGTTACAATGATGTCGACGCAAGCCCCTTTTGTCGATCAGCTGCTTAGGTGAAGGCCCTACTCGCGTTGTCAGTCACGGAAGTGGTGGGGGGGGGGGGGGGTGACCATACTTCACCATGCGGGTCAGTGCTGGTTGGTGTTATGCCACCGATGTGATGGCTGTAACCGGGAGTTAGGTGTTTGCAATGCCTCACGATCCCAACGAGTACGACTAGATGGATATACTCCTACCGAGGCTATGTTGAGGGTGGTATGTGCATGTGGAAAACAGGGTACCAAGCGGCACGCTTTGCATGTCAAGACGTCACCGATCTTCAGCGAATGCACGGCCCGCTAAGTGACAGCCATCCGCCCTCAGAGGGCCAAGATTGAGGCTTTGTGTACACTGGTGGTTTTAAACTAATTGGTTTAAACTTAATTGATTACCCCAGTGATTGTGTGAGCTTTGTCTCGGCTGCGGCAGGCCACGTGCTCCTAGTTAATTTGTCTCCCGAGATTTATTTTTGTTTTTACAATTGTACAAACAACTAAAAAAACCACACGCGTTTATTAATTTAGGCCAGTGCCCTAATGTGGACCATTATACTGCGTACCGACTTCCTCGACAAACATAACAGGAAATGCGGAGTTTGATGATGATTTGTTTAACCCATTCATTGCCGATCAACTTATTGCAGAACGATCCATTGATACATTTATAGATAAACCCAGCGACGTAACGCTTGTCGACTTACTCCTTCCCAACGGGATCCTGGATGGTGCCAGGGAGAATATCTCTGGCTCAAGAATATCTTACACTGAACCTTAACATACTGGACGTGTTTCGAGTTATTTAAAAATATTATTTTCTGGAGACGTTTGTTTGTGAGGCTTTCGAAAGATAAATGTAAATTTCTCAATGATTACATCCCCATATATTACGCCGGGTACCTATACATGCATGTGATACATATTGCATTGTGTCATTCGCTAATGGGATTCTTCTTTTCTTCTCCCAGCATTTAGCAGAATCGCATGCGTTACAATGTGAGTTCTTCAGCAAGCAACGCGTGATGACTGAACGGGCTGAGCCATGTGGAATCTCTGGACCAATGGGCGCTAACTTCTCTTTATCTAGCCGCTACAGTGTATTGGAACTTACTAGAAACCTACCAAGGCACCCCCGCCCACCTCCCCTTCATTTTCCGTGTTGCCTTGGTGACCACGAAGGTGTACATTGCTGTTTGTGATTAGACAACAACCGACTCACAATTTTACGAATTATTTGCTGCTGCTGCGTTGGCAGTTGGGTAGCACAAACGCATTTTAAGGAGAAAAAAAAACCACAATGCATTCGTCCATAGCATTGTGTGTGTGACGTATGTGGCCTTAAAAATCAACAAATACATCCACAAAATAGGAGACATTTTGGGCAATGTCCCTTCTTCACATGGCATATAAACGTTTTTTTTATTTCGGGGGCACTCAAGTGCAGAAGGCGTGGGCGGTGTAGTTTGATCTCCCTGGCTATCTGCTGACACGTCAACGTCGCTATCATCGCTGTCATATTTTGAACGTTGCGCATCTACGAAGTCAGCTTCTGAGCATGCCATCCGTGTAAAAAATGATTTCAGATCTCGAAGCCAATAAACAACTGCAGTGTATTAATATCTACGTTGCTCAGCGTGGCAGCACATTTTTTTTTGCGTCCCAAAAATATTGTACGTGAATTGCATGTCACGCTGGAAACCCAACAGAGCGTGAGAGGGACATTCTAACCAGGTCTTCATGTCGCACTGAATGTTTTCCCCGCGTTGCTGCTTGGCTGAAGTAGTTCGGCTCTGGCCTGGCTCCAGCTCCCCTCTTGGAGTGGGAGGGGGGGCAGTTAAGCTGTTGTGGGGGGGGGGGGGCACCATAGCAGTGATTCACAGTGATTCACACCGACCTCACCGAGAGCCGGTGGCCGCCGTGTACGGCAACAGGCACGTGGCGAGTAGTCACAGCCGTAGCGAGAGGGTATTCTGGATGTGGTGTACTGTGTGCGCGACACATTTTCCGAGTCACTGATAGACCCAGCTGAATTCAAGCCCCAGGCGTAAAGCGTATACAGTAGAGGCCACGAGGTAGTGTTTTACTACCGTTCATAGTGCACAGTGGATTTGTTTTGAAAAGGCGACGTTGTCATTGAAACGACAAAAACTTGCGGGGGGGCCTATAATCGTTTGAGAAACGTTTAATAAAATTCAAGAGGTTTTTTTGTCCAAACAAGGCAACAAGGCCGAGCACGTTTTGTAAAGGGGCCAATTTCGAGCGCCGAGGGCTCGGCCACGCTAGGAACACGGACATTATCCAAGTGTCGTGGGGCAGTCTGCACTGTGTGAAAACAAATACCATATACAACTTATTCGTGGTATTACACAGACTTTGGGCATCACCGCACAAGGCTACTTTGGATGCATGCTGATTAAAGCAACACTCAAATATAATTCACGACTGACATGGACTTTGCATTTAACCACATGGCACGAGCTGTTAAGCGTCTTCCGGAAAAAGGCAATGAATGTGGCAATTTATAAAAAAAAACGATTGGTTGGTTTCAACTCAGAAAATAAAAAAGTTCAACTGTTGCCTATGCCGGCAATCAGTTTTACCTGGTGCACCTTGGTCGATAATCAGGTGACTTTACTGCTGCGACTCATTGAGTCTTCTCGTTTCTCACTCTCCGGAAATGTGCCATTTCAGCATGTGCTCGAGTATCTGTGGGTTCCAACAAGGGCTCAGATCCCCCCGCCCGCTCAAGCTGGCCTGTCTGCGTCGCCTGCCGCGGTTCGGCGTGACCTCGCTCAAATGGACCCCTCCAGTGGAATTCAGACGACGATAACGACACGCGTGCTCGTGTCCTTTCATCGTCACATTCGCCAGCCGCGATCTGTCCACTGCTGGATTAAAGCCTCCTCAAGTGGTTGCCATCTCCCATGGCCTTGTCATGCAACACCGCATCTGGCTCCAGCACACGAGCTGGTTTCATTGCTCCATTTCCGCGGTGGACGTGCTTTCGAAGTGTGTCCTCTCCTTTTGGCTGCCATTCCGTCAATAGCCTTGACCGTCGATCATCGTCCCTCCCTGCGACATTTCCTGCCGAAGTCCCTCCTAATTTCACCTCGCTGATCTCGTCAAGGGAGCGTCAACCATCACACAAACTCTGGTCATCCTCGTAGCAGCGGCTTTTGGCTCACCGTTGAACAAAGACGGTCACCGCATCGCACACTTTCTTCTGCGGCCGTCTGGAACTCTCCTCATTCCGATATTAGGAAGCCACTAGAACGATGCACTTTTAAATTAAAATTGGAAACGAATTTCTTTAGAACTGCTTTTTGTGTTTAGTTTGTTGTCCTTCCCCCACACTTCCAATTAGCACGGTTGGCTACGTGCGGTGCGAAATACGTTCAACATACATTCCTCTCCTTTAGGTTACTAGCTTACTAGCTGAAGACCCTCAAGATTATAATTAATCTAAATGAGGGGTCCAAGTCACGAGAGCGGCTCATGCCTGATACCCCTCCTCGGGACAAATGGGGTCAAGCCGCTCGTTGACGCTCGTGGCGTTCAACGGTGCAAAGCAACGATTTCACAAAGCTCGCCACTCGCCAACAGTTGGCGGTCAACACCTCTAACCACAGAATTGTCAAAACGAAAAAGCGTGCCCGAATAGAACGCCTTCCGCGGAGAAAGGGAGATAGAATCGGCCCGATCGATTCCTACAAGCGCAGGACCACAAGAATCGTTGATGGCGTGGTGCTTGGTGAGGCCTTCGTCCCGGTAGTGGGACGGATTATGGCCGATCGTTACGAGACCATGAGACAATGGCGGTTCTGGCCACCGCAAAGCCTTGGCACCGCCATCGTTAAGCCCTTTCAGGTGGTGGACGCGGGGATGTGCTTGAGCGGGTTTGTTGTGGATGACTTGCTAGCGGAGCTCCCTATTTGGGGGGGGGCGGGGGGGGGAAATGCTCTTATACATGAAGTAAAAAAAAACACCCGGTCGTCAACGCAACCCCAACGCTTGGCAAGAGGAATTCTGAGTCACCGAGTGTGGAAGGATGTGGATAGGCAGTTTACAAGATGTACACGTGACCTTTGACCTTCACAATGTTTTTTTCCGACTGTTGGCTAATCTCTGTCACAACCGTCAAACTTATTTTTCGCCGCTCCTGGACAAAGCGTTTCAGGTTAACGTGCAACGACTTTACTTTTTGCATTCGAACTTGTAACGATGGCAAACGGGACCCGTGTGAGTTGGGACAACTCGCACACGCAAATGATGCTCTA